TCTGTGACCATCATGTTCCGACAATACGAACGTAATACGGTGAAATTCTTATTCTTTGGCAGGTGAGGATGATTGTGGAACAGGTGGAAATATTGATCTGTACATTCAACAGTACCTCCAGAAGAGTTTCAGAGTAAATGATGACAGTGGCAGAGAAAATATCAGTTTATTCTAATATCTTAATTATGCACTCCATATCTATGTTGTGGGTCATGGTCAACCCATACCCATGGCGTGGGTGGTGGTCATCCCCATACCCAAGGTGTGAGTGGTCACTCTATACCCATGGTGTAGGTGGAAGTCACACCATACCCATGTTGTGAATGGTAATCACATACCCATGGAGTGGCAGGTAGTTACCCAATTCCAGTGGGGTGAGTAGCAGTCACACAACACCGATGGTGTGAGTGGCAGTCACATAATACCAATGGTGTGAGTGGTAGTCACATACCCACAGTGTGGGTGGTTATCTGAAGATTACAGAGGAACACAATTTGTTCAGGGACTGTGCCGCAAAGTTTTTATAGTTTAAAATTTACATTGGTAATGAACATATTTATTTCTGGTTCCCAGTGAAGTGCCACACTACGCCGGGAGAAATATTTAATATGTTGACACATGCAGGAGACTCAGAAGAATAAACAAAGTGACATCAGTGGAAATAAGTCACTTTGACTTTCTTTGGGTTATCCTAGCTAATTTACACATATGTTGCTATGTTCTTTCTTTCTTTCAACAAACTGACCATATCCCACAGAGGCAGGGTGGCCCAAAAAAAAAAACCTTCTCGTTTTAACTCGAGTAATGTATACCGGAGAATGGGTTACTAGCCCCTTGCTCCCGGCATTTTAGTCGCCTCTTAAGACACGCTTGGCTTACGGAGGAAGAATTCTGTTCCACTTCCACAGGGAGAATGTTGTTATGTATAATAATTATTCTCATATGTACCACCTAAATAACTTTGTAAACATAGACTGGCCAGCAAGAGGAAACCAGAACTAGGACATGTGGCAAGTGAATGCAAATTAAGTTTATTTAGGCACAGGTACACATAAGTACAGTTATAATACATAGCGTAAATTTCATAGGATAACCCAAAAAAGTCAAAATGACTTATTTGCATTGGTGTCCTTGAAGCGTAACACTACAGTTTACAGTTGTATAACCTCACGGATGTAAAGATCGTGGATCACATTATAAGTCAACACAACAGTCAGCACACAAGAAGTTGATGTGAACCCCAGAATTAAAACACAAAATGTGAAAGCTCAGCAAAATAACTTCAAGTAGATAATCGCACACTGTTATTGCTAAGGGAGTGTAGTACAGTGGTAGAGCGTTCGCTTTGAATGTGAAAGGTCCCAGGTTCGATCCCCTGCACCTCCAGTCATGGGCATGTAGCACAGATGGTAGAGGGCTCGCTTAGCATGCGAGAGGTACGGGGATCGATACCCCATATCTCTAGATTTTATAAAAAGATTAAGCACTCAGGAGGCCGAGTATCAGTTGAAAATGGTTTAATGAAGCTATGCTAATTTATAATGAGTAGAATTTTAATTTTGCACCAGAACTACCCAAACAACCAACCTAAGTTATCCAGCTAAAAAAAGAATCCCTTTTGTTAAGCTCTTTACTTGAGGGAAGTGATGCTGGCGAATCCACTGGTAACACACACAACACTTAATATAATTCTCCTTCTGTAACTGCAGAACAAGCTTTATTTACCCAAATAAATGCTTGAAACAGGTTAAATACCACACACTCAAGTTGGTACTGATGGACCACCGGAAGAAAATATTGTTTCTCAAAGATTTAGTGAAAATTCAAGATATCTGTATTTATTGCAATGCTTGAATTGGGCCACTAATGCTGATCAGATAACTTATTCCAAGGAAGCTGTTGAACTGCAAGAGAAAGAATGAAGGGAAATAATCAATAACTAGAGATCATTTTTCCAGAAGGTGCTGGAAAATACGAAAACTGGAACGTTCAGTTATGGGATTCGTATGTTCGCAAGGTACCAGTTTAATAATCTGAATTTCTTTTTCTTTGCAGATAAGAACGTTTATGGAACAGATGGAAATACTGATCTGTACGTAGAAGAATACCTCCAGAAGAGCCTCAGAGTACATGATGAGAGTGCCAGACAATAGCAGTGTAGGTTAATACTTTTATTATGCACCTCATACCCATTGTGTGGGTGATAGTCACCATAAATCCATGGATGGAGTGGGACTCACCCTATACCCAAGAAGTGGGATTTCATCACACCACACCCATCGTGTAGGTGCTGGTCACCCAACATCCCTGGTGTGGGTGGTAGTTCCCTCATTTCCATGGTATCAGCGGAAGTCACCTCAACCCATGTTGAGGGCGGTGGTCACCCCTTACCCATGGAGTGGGTGGTAGTCATCACATTAATCATAGTGTGGGTGGAAATTTAATGAGTAAAGTGGAACATAATGGGTTCAGTGAATGGGCCACAAAATTGTCATAGCTAAAAAATTTACAGTGGTAATGAACATATTTATATCTGGTTACCAGTGAAGTGCCACACTACGCCAGAGGAAATATTTGATGTACCGACACATGCAGGAGACTCAGAAGAATAAACAAAGGGACACCAGTGGAAAAAGTGTCTTTGTCTGACTTTCTTTTTTGTTACCCTAGACGATTTACACATATGTTACTATGTGTGATAATTATACGTTTGTTTACCTGTACCTAAATAACTAACTAAACACAGATTGACCAGCACGAGCAGAACCTGAGCTAAGACAGGTGAAACTGAATGCAAAGTGAGTATATTTAGGCACTGGTACACATCAGTACAGTTATCATACATACTGTAAATTACATAGGAAATACCATAAAAGTCAGAGTGACTTATTTCTATTGGTGTCCTTGAAGCGCAAGACTACAGTTCTACAACCTCACAGAGGTAGAGATCGTGCATCACATTATAAATCAACACAACAGTCAGCACACGAGAAGTTGATGTGAACCCCAGAATTAAAATACAAAATGTGAAAGCTCAACAAAATAACTTCAAGTAGATAATCGCACACTGTTATTGCTAAGGGAGTGTAGCTCAGTGGTAGAGCGCTCGCTTTGCCTGTGAAAGGTCCCGGGTTCGATCCCCTGCACCTCCAGTCACGGGGATGTAGCTCAGATGGTAGAGCGCTCGCTTAGCATGCGAGAGGTACGAGGATCGATACCCTGCATCTCCAGATTTAAAAAAAAGATTAAGCACTCAGGAGGCTGAGCAACAATTGAAAATGGTTTACTGAAGCTGTGCTAATTTAAAATGCGTACAATTTTAATTTTGCACCAGAACTACCCAAACAACCAACCTAAGTTATCCTAAGTCACGCTGGCGAATCCACAGGTAACACACACAACACTTAAGATAATAACTCTGCTTCTGTGACTGAAGAACAAATATTTATTTACCCAAATAAATGCTTGAAACAGGTTAAGTATCACAAACTCAAGTTGGTATTGATGAACCACTGGAAGAAAATATTGTTTCTCAAAGATTAAGTGAAAACTCAAGACATCTGCATTTGTTGCAATGCTTCAATTGGGACACTATTGCTGATCAGATAACTTATTCCAAGGAAGCTGTTGAACAGCAAATGAAAGAATGGAGGGAATTAATCACGAATTAGCGGTCATTTTTACAGAGGGTATTAGAAGGTACGAAAACCTGAATGTTCAAGTCTGGGACTCCGATGCTCGCATGATTCCAGTTTAATAAGATGATATTTTTTTCTTTGGTAGGTGAGAATGATTTTGGAACAGGTGGAAATATTGATCTATACATTGAAGAATATCTCCAGAAGAGTCTCAGAATAAATGATAACGGTGGCAGAGACTCCAGCAGTTTAGTTTAATATCTTCATTATGCACCTTGTACCCATGATGTGGGTGGTGGTCACAACATACCCATGGTGTGGGTAGTGGTCACACCATACCCATGGGGTGGGTGGTAGTCACCCCATACCCATGTTGTGGGTGGTAGTCACCACATACCCATAGTGTTGGTGGTGGTTACACCATGCCCATCCTGTGGGTGGTAATCAAACCGTACCCATGGTGTGGGTGATAGTCTCCACATACCCATGGTGTGGGTGGAAATTTAAAGAGTACTGTAGTACGTAACACTATATAACAAAATTTCACTTGTGTGGTGTTCCTGGGAAATAATCATCATTTCCCAACTCTTTATAACTAAACAAATTTAAAAAATACAATTTTGATCCCAGAACTTTGTTTTTTTGGTCAGGACACTTCTGGAACACTGTCAAGAAAGATTTACATAAAACTATTATGTTCTAGGGTTTTGCTTGGCTAATATGAAAACAGGAGCTTACAAACCACCAGTCAGTTCAGCTCTGGCTACGTGAGACGACACATCAGAAGAAGTGAAATGGCATCAAGAGGCTGCAATTATTCTCTAGATGGATTCTGATATATATATATATATATATATATATATATATATATATATATATATATATATATATGTGTGTGTGTGTGTGTGTGTGTGTGTGTGTGTGGTGTGTGTGTGTGTGTGTGTGTGTGTGTGTGTGTGTGTGGTGTGTGTGCGTGTGTGTGTGTGTGTGTGTGTGTGTGTGTGTTGTGCACACTGTAGGGCTCAGTGTTTTATTTTGAACATTGCAAACTGTAATGAAACATTCACTTAATATTATATCTCCAGTATCGTCATTAAATAGCTAAAATGAAGATGGTCGGCGATATATTATCTGTTCATCATCATCATTATATTTATTATAATTAGCTAAGTATTATAGGTAGGATGTTTCCTTGGTTAAATAAAGAAAATAACTATTGACGGTAGGGAACCGTCTTGCCAACAACTGTATGAGTTTTAGTGGTCCAGCCATCACAATCACGTGAGTCACGTGACCCTTACCTGACGTTTGGGTTGGAGAACGTGTGATCAGGCAGTCTGGTTCAGCCTTGAGCTGGAAAAACATCTCTCTCTTCTTGAGTGGTCTCATAGAAGTCTCAAAGATCTTTAAAGGACAGAGTCTTCCATGACTCTTGTTATACTGGGTTGTCTCACAAGAAGTGTCTTGTAGACTTTCTTTCGCTGTAAGACACAGGTCTTCATATTGGTTTTAAGTCTGCTAAGGCTTAAAGCGTCATACCAGTATTGTGTTTAAAGACTCGGAGTTCTATAGAAAGATGTATAGTTGCTTTCGTTAATTTCTTCTGTTGTTGGCTTTAGAGTTTTTCTTGACTCATTACCCGAGCTTAGGATCTTTTGGATCACGGTTGAACTGTATTATTAGATTTACCAGGATAAGGATAATGTGAATTTTCTAGTATAATTATCATGTATGTAAATTCATATACCTTAAGTTGTTTACGAAGTCAATCGTAAACTTGTACTTTCTGTATATAGCTCCTGTCATATAAATTAATAAGAGAGAAGAAAAGAAAGTATTGTCCTAAATATTTTATATTAAAGATCGTAAATACTTTACATGTTAGATTTTGTCTCCTAAATGGATTAAACCTGTGATACTCTGAAGACTTTCTAAAGTCCCGCTTGTAATCCAACGTCTTGTTACGAAGAAGCGATCTTATACTCTTTACCCGGAAAAAAGCTTACAAGCACAAAATAAACCCGGACTGGTAACAATGTGTTCAGTTCATTAAGACAAGAGCAAAGAAGTTCTCTGTAACAGCATCTAAAAAAAAAACCATATTATGTCATGCCAGTTGGGCACCAAGACAAGACCTGGCCATCTCATGTTGCTTGTCAACATCGTAAGAAAACATTGGAAGGTAATAAAGTCACTAGTTATGTGAAAGGTAAAATCTTGAATAGCAACATTTTTTTAAATGAAATGTATGTAACAGAAACTAATTCTTTTGTTCTTTTACAGGATGGAATAGAGGAAAAAATAAAATGCCAGGAAGTTTGCTGTTCCTAGAATATGACATGAACCCACTGATCACTCAACCAACTGTTGCTTCTGTCTGGTGGATCCTTCCAAACACCGAACTGGGAAAAATGCACCTACTATTTATTATCCAGAGCTTCTTCTCTTCTATTGCACCAGTACCACACAGTGTTGATCTTCCTGTACCTACACCTCCAGAAAGAAGTCAACCATCAGAAGAAATCAGCAAATCAGAAAATGAGGAGTACGGTGAACAAGACTATGATCTCACAGATGCAGTTGTTGAGAGGAATCCTTACTACCCACACCAGACTTCAGTGACCTTATCAGAGATATTGGTTTGACAAAGTCAAATGCTGAGCTTTTAATTTCAAGGCTCAAGGAGTGGGACTTGGTGGATGAAAGTGTGCAAGTGACAAGCCAAGGAAAACGTAACCAACATTTTTCAAGCTTCTTTACTAATGAAGAAAGATTGTCCTACTGTAATGATGTATCAGGCCTGTTTTATGCAACTGGAATTGCATGCAATCCAGATGAATGGAGACTCTTCATTGACCACAAGTCAGGAAAATCATGGAGCGCTCAGAATTTCCAAAGAAGCTCACAGAGAAGGAAAAGGAAGCATGGGAGAGTTTTGTTGCTGTAGCAGGGCTTTCTGGGCAACAACAAGGCTCATAATTATGTGGAACTTGCTGAGACCTTGGTAAAAAAACTATGGTCAGATGGCCTGTAGGACGTCCCTTAAGGTCCATATCCTTGATAATAATCTTGACAATTTCAAGGAGAATATGGGAGCATACTCAGAGGAGCAAGGGGAGCGCTTCCACCAAGATAAAAGGTTTTTGGCACAGATATAAAGGATCTTAAAAATGAAAAACAGAGGGGAAAACCATTTGGGGGCTTAAACGGGAAAAAGTGATTTTTGCTGCTCCAAATTTGGAGAAATGCTCATTTTTGCTTTGAAATTTTTGTTTTTTTTTTCTTCTTCTTATTCCCCGGTATTCTCCCGGCCCGGGTCTTTTCCAAGTAGTGGTGACCCGGCCTTGGCTCCCCTTTGGGGGTGTCTCGAGACCTAAGTCTACCATGTTTCAGAAAGTTTAAAATAAAATGTGTGTAAATTTTATTTTATATAAATTTTATTTATTTTATTATTTTTTTTTATTATTTTCATGTAAAAACTAGCAAAAAATATTGAAATTTAGCCATTTTTTTTGTAATAAATTCAAACTGTAAGCCACAAAAAGCAAAGTTTAAAAGGAGTAATGGGCATTTTTAATTGTTTTGCCATAAAAGGAGTTGGAAAATAACACAAACTAGGCAGGAACAAAAATTTTGTTACATACTGTATGGGGCCAGAGACTGGGCCTCAAAATCGCCATAGATAAAAAATTTAAAAGTGGTAATGAACATATTTATATCTGGTTACCAGTGAAGTGCCACACAACGCCAGAGGAAATATTTAATATGTTGACACATACAGGAGACTCAGAAGAATAAACAAAGGGACATTGTGGAAATAAGTCACTTTGACTTTATTTGGATTATCCTAACTAATTTACACATGTTCCTATATATGACAATTGTTCTTTAGTTTACCTGCACCTAAATCACTTACAAAACATAGCTTGACCACCACGACCAGAACAAGAACTAAGACACGTGAAACTGAATGCAGTGAGTTTATTTAGACACAGGTACACATAACTACAGTTATCATACATAGTGTAAATTACAACGGATATCCGAGAAAAGTCGGAAAAAGTGAGATTTCCATTGGTGTAGTTGAAACATTAGATAACAGTTCTACAACCTCACAGAGGTAGAGATCGTGGATCACATAAGTCAACACAGCAGTCAGCACACAAGAAGTTGATGCGAATCCCAGAATTAAAGCGCAAAATGTGAAAACTCAAGAAAATAACTTCAAGTAGAAAATCGCACACTGTTATTGCTAAGGGAGTGTAGCTCAGTGGTAGAGCGTTCGCTTTGCGTGTGAAAGGTCCCGGGTTCGATCCCCGGCACCTCCAGTCATGGGGATGTAGCTCAGATGGTAGAGCGCTCGCTTAGCATGCGAGAGGTACGGGGATCGATACCCCGCATCTCCAGATTTTATAAAAAGACTAAGCACTCAGGAGGCCGAGCATCAGTTCAAAATGGTTTACTGAAGCTATGAAAATTTATAATGAGTACAATTTTAATTTTCCACCAGAACTGCCCAAACAACCAACTGGCGAATCCACAGATAACACACACAACACTTAAAATAATAACGCTGCTTTTGTGACTGAAGAACAAGTATTTATTTACCCAAATAAATGCTTGAAACAGGTTAAGTATTACACATTCAAGTTGGTATTAATGGATCACATGAAGAAAATATTGTTTCTCAAAGATTAAGTGAAAATTCAAGAGATTTGCATTTATAGCAATGCTTAAATTGGGACACTATGGCCGATCAGGAAACTTATTCCAAGGAAGCTATTGAACGCCAAACGAAAGAATAAGGGAAAATAATCATGAACAAGAGGTCATTTTCCAAGAGGGTACTAGGAGATACGAAAACCTGAATGTGATCACCATATTCCGACAATACGAACATAATTCGGCGAAATTCTTATTCTTTGGCAAGTGAGGATGATTGTGGAACAGGTGGAAATATTGATCTGTACATTAACAATACTTCCAGAAGACGATCACAGTAAATGATGAAAGTGGCAGAGAAAATAGCAGTTTATGAAATATCTTAATAATGCACTCCATACCCATGGTGTGCGTCGTGGTTGCAATATACCCATGGTGTGGGTCGTGGTTGTAACATACCCATGGTGTGGGCCGTGGTTGTAACATACCCATGGTGTGGGTCGTGGTTGTAACATACCCATGGTGTGGGTCGTGGTTGCAATATACCCATGGTGTGGGTCGTGGTTGCAACATACCCATGGTGTCGGTGGTGTTTGCAACATACCCATGGTGTGGGTCGTGGTTGCAACATACCCATGGTGTGGGTCGTGGTTGTAACATACCCATGGTGTCGGTGGTGTTTGCAACATACCCATGGTGTGGGTCGTGGTTGCAACATACCCATGGTGTGGGTCGTGGTTGTAACATACCCATGGTGTGGGTCGTGGTTGTAACATACCCATGGTGTGGGTCGTGGTTGCAACATACCCATGGTGTGGGTCGTGGTTGCAACATACCCATGGTGTCGGTGGTGTTTGCAACATACCCATGGTGTGGGTCGTGGTTGCAACATAAACCCCTGGTGTGCGTCGTGGTTGCAACATACCCATGGTGTGGGTCGTGGTTGCAACATACCCATGGTGTGGGTCGTGGTTGCAACATACCCATGGTGTGGGTCGTGGTTGCAACATACCCATGGTGTGGGTCGTGGTTGCAACATACCCATGGTGTGGGTCGTGGTTGCAACATACCCATGGTGTGGGTCGTGGTTGCAACATACCCATGGTGTGGGTCGTGGTTGCAACATACCCCTGGTGTGGGTCGTGGTTGCAACATACCCATGGTGTGGGTCGTGGTTGCAACATACCCATGGTGTCGGTGGTGGTTGCAACATACCCATGGTGTGGGTCGTGGTTGCAACATACCCATGGTGTGGGTCGTGGTTGCAACATACCCATGGTGTGGGTCGTGGTTGCAACATACCCATGGTGTGGGTCGTGGTTGCAACATACCCATGGTGTGGGTCGTGGTTGCAACATACCCATGGTGTGGGTCGTGGTTGCAACATACCCATGGTGTGGGTCGTGGTTGCAACATACCCATGGTGTGGGTCGTGGTTGCAACATACCCATGGTGTGGTCGTGGTTGCAACATACCCATGGTGTCGGTGGTGGTTGCAACATACCCATGGTGTGGGTCGTGGTTGCAACATACCCATGGTGTGGGTCGTGGTTACAACATACCCATGGTGTGGGTCGTGGTTGCAACATTCCCATGGTGTGTGTGTGTTGGCCACAACATACCAATGGTGTATATGCTCACAACATACCCATGGTATAGGTGGTAGTCACACCATATCCATAGTGTAGGTGGTGGTCACAACATACCGATGGTATGGGTGGTAGTCACACCATACCCATGGTGTGGGTGGTGGTCACAACACACCCATGGATTGGGTGGTCACAACATAACCATGATGTGGGTAGTCGTCACAACATAACCATGATGTGGGTGGTGGTCAAAATACAACCACGGTGAGGGTAGTGGTCACAACATAACCATGGTGTGGGGGGTGGTAATAACATATCCAGTATGAGGGTGGAGATCACAACATACCCAAAGTGTGGGTAGTGGTTGCAACATTTCCATGGTGCAGGTGGTGGCCACAATATACCCATCGTGAGGGTGGTGGTCAGAATATAACCTTGGTGTGGTTGGTGGTCAGAACATAACCATGGTGTGGGTGTTTGTCACAACATAACCTTGGTGTGGGTGGTAGACACAACATAACTATAATGTGGGTGGTGCTACTAATATAGCCATCATATTGGTGGTGGTCAAAACATAACCTTGGTGCGGGTGGTGGTCACAACTTACCCGTGATGTGGGTGGTGGTTGCAACATACCCATAGTGTAGGTTTTGGTTGCAACATACACATGGTGTGGGAGGTGACCACAACATACCCATCCTGTAGGTGGTGGTGGTCACAACATAACCATGATGTAGGTGTGGTCACAACATAACCATGATGTAGGTGGTCACAACTTACCCATGGTGTGGATGGTGGTAGCAACATACCTGCGGTGGTGTGGTGGTGCAACATAACCATGGCGTGGATGGTGGCCGCAACATACCCATGGTGTGGGTGGTGGAACACAACATATCCATGGTGTGGGTGGAGGTAGTAACATATCCATGGTGTGGGTGGTGGTCACAACAAACCCCTGGTGTGGGTGGTGGTCACAACAAACCCATGGTGTGGGTGGTGGTCACAACAAAATCCATGGTGTGGGTGGTGTTCACAACATATCCACAACTGGAGAATACACTAGACCTCATCTTCACTAACAATGATGATCCGATACGAAATGTCACCATATCAAAAACAATATACTCAAATCACAACATAATCGAGGTTCAGACATGTATGCACGGAGCCCCAGACCGACAAAATGAGATTACTCACGGGGGAGCCCCCCAAATTAAATTTCAATAACAACACAAAAAAGGGACCAAGTAAACCAAGTCCTAACCATATAAGCGGGGAAGATAGACAAGAAACCCAAGACCCCAACTTATCCTAGAAAAATTTTAACTCGGTGGCACCGATTAGCCAAGGTTATTCCTTTAAGAAAGAGGAGATTAAAATAAAAAACGGGCCTCCCTTTCGGGCACGGAAAAAAATAACAGAGGGGCTAAAAGAAGCCAAAAATTCTGAAATGCGTGGGGGAGACACTGGCAAAAAATAGTAAACACGAACTTAACAAAGAAATCTAAAAAAAAAAATACCACGGGGGGGGAATAAAACCCCCCGCATCAAGAGTCTCGAAACTCCAGCCCTCGCTTTAAAGCCAGGGGTTCTTTCCCCCCCGTGGTATGTTTGTTGCAGTTGGTCATTACATTTCGTGAGTCAAGCTCAAGGAACTTATAGGAGTCGGAATCGAGGGAAAAACAAAAGCCAAAAATAAATCGAAGAAACCCAAAGGATTTTTTTTTCTTATACGATCAAAGTCGAGAAAACACCCGTATTGGGCCCTTACTTAAACAGAGGGGTCCTACACAATGCAGCAAGGAAATGAGTGAG